AACCGGCAGCTGGAGGTACCCAGGGCCCGGCCTTCCAGGAAGAGAGAATTTAACAGGCAGAGCTAGGAGTTAGCTGGCTGCAGGGTCCGTGTGGGTGCTCGGGGCTGGGTGACGGTCCTGGGCTCGGTTACCTCGGCGCCTCTGGGTAGCTGTTGTGGCATTGCTGTGACTCAGCGCAGTGCAGGGTCCGGCCCACAGCTCGTTAAGCACAAGGAGCAATGGATGCAGGGGGGTAGTGGGCCACAGGGACCGGCTGGGTCGGAGGATGGGATCCGCGACCTGCCCCCTCCCTTTGGCTTGGCCAGGCAGCCCCGGCTGACTGGAGGGCAGGTGATGCAATCCACCCAGAGGGCTCGTTAGAGGAGAGGTGAGGCTGTGTGTGTTGTTTGTTGCTAGCAGAGACCTGGGACCTGCTGGCGCCAGCCCTGGGCCTAGGGGAGATTTGCACATCCCTGCCCTCCTCTCTGGGGCCCGAGAGTGTGGCTGGGGCAGGGCGGGCAGAGAACCCGCGATGAACCAAGCTGCCAGAGCCACGGCAGTGCCAGGGAACTCAGTACGGGGGCCCCAGTCGCTGAGCAGGGCTGGGCGAGCGCCACAGAGCATGTAGAGACCTGCAGGGGGCGCTGCAGGTCAGCATTAAAACCGCTGCCCCCATGCGGCGCTAGAGAACAGGGTGCCAGCAAACCGGGGCTGGCCAATCTATCAATGGCTGAGTGCCAGCAGCCCCCGCGGGCAAGGACAGGTGGGTCCTGGTGCCCAAGAGCTGGGCTGGGCTGCCAGGAAAAGGAGCCAACAGTTAACTGCCCCCTTCCCAGGCAGGGTGGTCCCCGTGCCTGCCTAGCCTGGGCAGCAGGCTGGCGCGGCCCCACTGAGCACAGCGTTTTTGGTCAGTCCTGGTGCTCAGGCAAGCAGGTGAGGGTGGGATTCAGGCAGACAGGGCCCTGGAGCCAGAAGCAGGGCAATACAGGCGGCAGTTGTGCAAGACACCCCCCCTGTTTGCACACACACACACCCGGGAGCAGCAGCACAGATAGGGGAGAGTTCAGCTGGGCCGTCTGGGTCCTGGCAGACAAAGGGCCAGCGGGGATGGTGGACGGGGGACTGGGGAGGCCACTGCACAGCTCCCTCTGAATCTGAGCCACGTGGGATGTGAAGGAGAAAAGCCAGTTCCCCAGCCCTGGAATGACCTTGGCCCCTCTCCTGCTTCGGAGCAACCGACTCCCACACAATACAGCCTCCCCCACATCTGGCTGGAGAAGCTGCTGGCTGCGCCCTGGGGGCACCACGCCCACGCGCTCCCCTGGCAGCCGCAGCGTGAAGCCCTTTGCCACTCCATTGTTTTCTTTAAAAATAAATACTAAATAATGCAGAGATTAAATATTCTTCGTGGGCAGCTGGTGCTGGGGGGAGGTGTGTGGAGGAAGGCAGCTTACAGGAACAGCTGCCCATGCGAGAGCACTTTGCAAATGCAAAACAGCTCAACCAAACCTTCAAGTGCTAATGTCTGCCCATGGGGCCGAGCTGCAGCTCCGAGGGGTCTGGGGCAAGGCCTGGGACCCCCCCTCCGGCAGCCCCTCCCAGGTAGCTGTGATGCCTAGCGGGTGTGGGGGTGGCAAGCCCTTAATTGGTCACTGGGGATCCTAGCTAGCGCCATGGGAGGGCTCTGAGCAGATGGAGCCAGCTGGCATTGATGCAGATGCGAAGGGTCCCCTGCCCGTCAGCCGGGGTGGGAGCTGCGAATGGGGACATGGCCTCTCCGGAGTCTGGGAGCTGGAACATACGGGGGCTTTGCAGCGTGGGGCTCCGGGGGACCAGGTATTTTGGGAACCAAATAGGCATGAAGCCCTCCCCCCCCCCCATTTCTCTCCAACCCTGGACTGTACCACTTAGAAACATAGACTATCAGGGTTGGAAGGGACCTCAGGAGGTATCTAGTCCAACCCATTTCCTAGGCAGCAGGGGCACAACTCTCCCCCCTCCACCCCCGCCCCAAGCAGCAGGGACACAACCACCCAGAGCCAGCGGCTGTAAAAATAGAGCTTTTATTACAGGTTGTGTCTTTGCAGCACCATGGAGGTGGTGGCTGGGCAGTGGGTAGCAGCGGTGGCGCATGCTGGTGGCAGACAGGGGGGGGGTCATTTGTGGGGGGGGGGTCAAAAATAAAATGGAACAAAATTCTAGAGAAGCACAAAACTTCCCTGCGGGGAGCGGAGCCCCGGAGCCGAGCGCTGCAGCAGCAGAGGGGTGGGCGAAGGCTGCAGTCAGTGCGCCTCTGGGCCCAGGGAGGAGAGGGACGGGTAGCAGCCAAGCCAGGCTGGCTCAGCGGGGGGGAGGGGAAATATGCCGACAGAGGCGTCTCCTTGGGCAGTGCCCCCATGGCTGGTACGTGCTCACCCCGAATAGCCAGGCTGGTGCAGCACTCCTGGGACAAGCAGCCAGAGCTCGGCACGGGGAGGGCTCTGCCTGTTCCCAGGACAGTGGCCAACAGTCGCAGGGACGACTGTCATGTCACCACCGTGGCAGTTGTATCAAAGGGGGGGGGGGAATACCCATGAGCCCACGGGGCAGGCCAGTGGGTTCCCCGGACATGTTACGGGGAATCAGAGACAGCGCTGGGGTGTGAGGGTCAGTGCTGGCGCTGCCAGGCCCCTGGGCACCCAGAGAGCGCCCTGCCCTGTGCCCACCCCCCAGCTCTGCCCATTGTCCTGGAGGCGCAGCTGACCCCAGAGCGCTGACGGGCCGGCCCCGCCCAGCTGAGTGCTCCAGCTGCCGCTGGCCCATCGGGGATGAGCCGGGGTGTGGGGGGAGTCCCCGAAGGCCATTCGGGAAACCTCCCATCCCCCGGGGGCTGATTAGGTGCCACCGGGAATGAGGACCCCCGGTGTCCCGAGGCGCTAGCTCCCCTCGCCCAGCCAGGCCTGTCCTGCGGGCTCCTTTGCTTTTCAGAGCGAGGGCCGGCGCTGCGCCCGGCAGTCTGGAGCCCGCGCTCCCAGCCTAGGACGGGCTGAGCAGGGGGCTCTGGCTCGGCTGCCCCTCTCCTGAGCCCGCTGATGCCTTGGCCCACTGAGAACAGGCCTGAGACCCCCCAAACTCAATGCACGGGGCCGAGTCACCAGCCATACAGACAGCAGCACCAGCCCTGCCCGGAGCAGGGGCCGGCTCCCCCCGTGCTGGCCCAGAGCTGCCCGTCCGTGTCATCGGGGGCGGGGGAGAAAAATCCCACCAGGAAATAAAAAATGTTAAAAAACCTTTGGGAAAAATAGTATCAAAAGGCTTTAAATCCCCCCTGCCTCTGCTGGTTTGCGGAGCTGGGGCTGCAGGCCCCAAAGCGACCCCACCCGGCCGGGGCCTGGCCATGTGCCCCGGGCAGTGGGAACAGGGCAGCTTTATGGGGAAGTTCCACCTGGGCAGAGGGGCTTCCCCTGCTATCCTAAACCTGAGCACTAAGGCCTCCCCACCCACCCCCCGTTCCCTGGAGCAGGGCTCATCCGGCCTCCCCCTGCCCCCCGCTCCTTCGCACAGAGGAGCTGGAGATGCTGGCGGCTTGTGGCGGGGGCAGCTGAGGTCCCGTGGGGGGGAGCAGGCCGGGAAATGCCACCGTGCAGGCTCCCAAGCACGGGCACTTGGTGGCAACAGCCTAGAGGTGTTGAAATCCATCTCAGAGCCAGCCATGGCCCTGCGTGGCCTGCAGCCTCCGGAGGCTGGTTGGGGGATGCACGTGCCCGGACGAGAGGCTTCGGCCAGTGCAGAGAACACCCAGGAGCCAGGGCGGCCAGGCAGGGCTGTGTTGGAACAGAGGATGCTGGTGGATCACGTGCACATCCCCCTCCACCCCCGCAGCGGGGTGACAGATCCAGCACGCACTGAGCCAGGGGTTACACTTGCACGCCGGGACGTGCAGTTTTGGGGAGGCGCAGCTTGGGCAGAGGGAGAGGGTTGTGTAGCAGGTGGAGATGTGACCCCCAGCCCCAGGGGAGTTGCTGTCACGCTCCCCAAATGGGCAGAGCCTGCCCCTCCCCCAGCTACATCCGTAAGGCGAGTTCCAGACACAACCTTGCAACGCCTCGAAACTGAGCCCTAAGCTGCCGAACACAAAGCGGCTCTGAATCGGCCCGGGGGGAGGGGGAGAGATTACGGGACTGGCCCAGGGGCTGCACAGTCCAGCCCTGCAAACTACTGCCCCGGGGACTTCCACAGAGTCGGGTGGGGTCAGCCAGAGCTGGTCCGGCCCTGCCGGGCCTGGTTTCCAGCATCGTACGTTTCACGCAGGCCGTTCGCTCTGGAAATTACACCGAGCCCGACCCCGCTGGGCCACCAGCGCAGCCCCCACCCCCTCCGCGGGACCTGACCCCGTCCAAGTCAGGCAAACACATACTGAAGATGGGAGCGGAAGGCTGCGACGAGAGCGGCGTATCGAACTCCCGCCGGGGGAGCAGAGAGGTACCTGGCTTGGGGGCGCTCCAGGCCTGCAGGGCGCCCGTGGGGCTGGTCCGGGGGCAGAGGACAGGTCCTCCGAGGAGTTCTAAGGCTCTCAGAATAAATTCCTCGTCACAAACAAAACCCGTCATTTTGTAGAAAATGCGCCCGCTCCGCAGCGCTGTGAGCAGGTGGGGTCACAGCTGGAGCGGGAAGTGCCCTGGAAGAGCCACAGGGGGGCTCTCATCCACCCCCCGCCCGGCCCCCAACTCTTGCAATTCACCTGCAGAGAGAAGGAAAATCGACGCTGGCAGAAAGGAGCCATCATCCCAACGACATCACCGGAAACCGCTGGCGAGGCCCCCCCAGCACGCTCCATCCACTCGGCTCGCTGCAGCTCCCAGGCGAGCGGTACAGGAGGCGGGGGCGCGGCGGGGGTTATGGGCAGAAGGCGGGGGGGTGTCAATGGAAGCTTTCTGAGTCTGATCTGCAGCAGAGGTGTGTCGGGGGGTGGCTCTGAGAGGAGCAGTTGGGGAAGGCTGGGCCAGGGCCGGCAGGGGGCGAGGGCAGAGGGCACAGGACCGGGGAACCTGCGAGCGAGTAGGGAAGACTGGGAGTCTGACCGCAGAGCGGGGCAGCTTGTGTCGATGGGAGGTGGGTCCCGTCCACGTCCGCCCGGGGCAGGCGGTAATGGCTGGAAGGCGCGTGGGATGAGTCTCTGGAAGCGTGGAGCCCCTCCGGCTCCCGGGGGCTGTCTGGGGGCGAGCTCCAGGAGCCAGGGACCTCAGCAGAGGTGGTGCCGGGAGAGACTCCAGCGTCCCCCGGCGGTGGTGACAGTGGCACCGAGATGGAGGCGTGAGCTGAAGGCAGACGAGGTGGCACTGCCGCTGGGGGCAGTCTGGGTGGCTGCTCGCTCCCGCTGCTGGGTTTCGGGGGCGGGGAGGAGAGAACGGGGAGGCCGTAGGGGCAGGCCAAGGCTGGGGCGCACAGCAGCTGGCTCCGGAGCAGGTGCATCATGCGCTGCAGCTCCCGGCTGAGGTGGGAAACTTCCTGGTTGAGGTTATTGATCTGGAAAGAGACACAAACCGTGCTGAGCGAGGGGACAGTGCCCCGAGGAGGCGGCGTCACGCCCTGTGCCCACACCCCCTGCCCCCAGCTCAGCAGCGCCCCGCACTGGCGCCAGGCATGGCCAGTCTACTCTTCATGCTGGCTGTTGCCCCACTTCCAACGGAGAAGCAAAGGATTCTGGGAGCATGGGGCAGGGACGCCCCTTTGGATCCGGCTGCTCCGGGATCTGCAGCCAGCGGAGTGTGGATCAGGACGCGGCTGGTGGTGGGTGACCTGACCGGGGTGTGTGTGTGTGTCAGGGTTGCTGTGACGCACCCCCAGAGACAGCAGTCTATCTAGCGCCTGCCTGCGGCCCCAGCACAGTCCATTGGGGCTCTTTTACCCCATGCATCCACTTATCCTGACCTCGGACAGCGCGGGACACGTGCCCCGACTTGCCCACTGGGCCTATTGCCCTGTGTTTGGTTCACCAGCCCCATTGGCAACGCACCCCAGGGAAGTGGCTTGTTACCTGCTGCTGCTGCAGAAAGGAAAAATAAGCAGCGGAAGCAGGAGACCTTTTGTTATTGTAGGTCCTATCCAAAAAACGTTTAGTGGCCACTGCTGTTACCTCTCTGCAGGGATGGGAGGTGTAACCTCCTGCTGGATCCGGGACGCTAATTGCTCACCCAGCTACTCACAGCAGCCCAGTGTACCAGCCCTGCCTCTCCTGGGGGCCGCTGTTTACCATGCACACTGGCTGCAAAGGAGAGGGAAGCCCAGAGGGCCAGGACCCAGCAGCAGCCCCCGCAGCGGGTAGGCCCAGCCCCAGCCCGCTGATGAGCCAGAATCAGTCAGAGGGGACGCGCTCTCCGCAACCCGGCCCTGCTGGTCTGTGAGCTTCCACACGTGGCCACGGAGCGCCTTGGCCACAGGCCATGGGGGACGTAATACGAGGACCTCCCTCGGGGATCTGAGGCCAAGATCATGGCTGGCTACGGACAGTCTAGAGTCCCAGCACAACCCTGACATTAAGCCACCCTGAGGCTGCTCTAGCTTACGCCAGGAAACATTTCTGTCCCTGCAGCAGCCTGGAACCTGGACAGGGCAAAGCCCCCACGCTGCTCTCCCGGGCTGCAGCGAGCAAGCGGCCTCACTCCGGAGCTGCCCCCAGGCTACAGAGACCCTGCCTGCTACATAGCTACCCTACCCTCCAGCACACAGCCCGCGGGAGGTGGGAGCAGGCACGGAGGAGGAGGGGCTGCTCCTGGACCTGCGTTTGTTGCTATGAAATCCTTACAGAGACAGCCTGGGCTCATTGTAAACCCGATCGCCTGAGTCAGGGCAGAGCCGCCGAACAGCCCGATCCGGAGCGGGCTCAGCGCTGGCAGCTGGGGCCACTTCACCTCCTGCAGAATGCGCCAGGCAGCAGCGGGTCGGTCGGTGCCGGGGGGGTCCAGGCGGATGCGAACCCCAGGAGAGCCAGCCCTGCAGCGCCCACCTCTTCTCCCCCCCACCCCCCGCCCCGGCCGCAGGGGCTCCAGGCTGTACCTCGTGGTTCAGTCTGCTGACGTTCTGCTTTATCTCCTCCGCTTCTGCGCCTAAGGCTGGGCTGGCCTCATCCGTCCCTGCAAGGAACCCCAGACCGATCTCAGGGGAAGGCCGAGCGCCCCCATGGGCCTTGACCCAGCCCACTGGGACTCACGGCCATGCCAGGACAACAGGCCAGGGGCAAAGCCTCCCCGAGCGAGCCCCGCATCCATTCACCTGGCCCAGCATTGGGACCGGCCGACCCCTTGGCACACAACCCCTCCCCCGCCAGGCCTCATTCTGGGCCCAAGCCCCGAACGTTCGGAGACGGGGGAGCTTCTGGATGGGCGGAGTGGGAGGGCGCCAGCTGCCCCCCCCCACAAGCTGTTCAGGCCTGGCTAGCAGGAGTTGGAGCTTTTCCGCCAGCATCTGAACTAGCCGCTGCTCATCCCAACGCCGCGCGCTTGGCTCTGCCTCCAGGGACCGAACCAGCACAAATGACTTCACCGCCCCGTCCCCCCAGGGGCCGGCCAGCATGAGTGACATGCCCAAGGGCACACGGTGAGTCACAGCCAGGGATAGGACCCAGGCGTCCTGACCCCCTGCAAACCTCCTCCCCTCCAAACCCTGGGACAAGCACTCCCCAGGCCCAGAGGAAACAGTCGCTTATTCATGTCAAGCCGTTCTCCCTGGGCCAGAGCGCGCCTCCTATCCCCAGCGCCGTCTGGCCCGGAGCCGGGGCAGCGCCGGGGCAGCGGGCGGTTACCGGACGTCGGCGATTCTACGACCGAGCTCTGCTGAGGCGGCTCCACGTTGAAATGGAAGGTTTGCATCTCCGATGTCCCGCCATCATCCTCGATCCCGTCAACGACCCTAAAGGGGGGGGGGGGTTAATCCTACTGACATGATCGGCTGGCGCAGCACCGCTGGGCATCGCTAACCGGCCCCTTTGCCTCCCGGGCACGGGTGGAAATTCAAGCAGAACCCGACTGGGGAATGCAGTCTGGGCGGCCCGGGGGGACTGAGCCCCAGGCTCGCTGGCCCATATGGGGCAACTCCCAATGATTTCAGCGGGGCCAGCTGAGCGGAGGACGGCAGCTGTTGCCACCAGGTGCCTGAGGTGAAATGAGCCAGTGGGTCTCAGCCCTGATCCAGGCAGATGACTCCATGGGCCGATCCCATCCCCACCCCGTGGCACTAACCGCCCACCCCCATGCTGGCAGCACCAGCAGAGAGGCCAGGGCTGGGTGGGGAGGGGAGACTGAGCCACTCATCTCTAGGGCAGGCGGGGCGGGCTCAAGGGGAGGGGTGTGGGCGCATGGCATGGCCAGGCAGGCGTGTGGGGTGCTTGCCTCGCGGCTGTGGGCGATAACTGGAGTATTCAGCCTCCAGGGCTCTCAAGCCGGGAGCTTCCAGCCCGAGGAGCTGGAATCCCCCTAAGCCACTGGGGTGGGAGATGCACCAGGGCCTACATCACACAGGCAAAACACACCCGAAGCCACTGTGAGTGCGATGCACACGCTGGGGCCAGCCAGCGCTGCAGATGGGCAATTGCCTGGAGAACTGGTGAGAGCTGTGCAGGCATGTGAATGAGGCCACGCATGCTCCAGGCATGCAGAGAGTTGCTGTCTTTCCAACATGTGCACACACGCGTGCTAATGAGTTCACCCCTGTCAACGTGCGCAGGCGTGCGAGCACACGGCGATGCACTCAGATGTGTGCAGCCGAGGCACACGTGCAAACCTTCACACTCCGGTTTGGTGGCTTGCCACACAGCTGCAGGGTCCCAAGAACATGGCGCTGCCAGCGCTGCCCGTCCTTACCTGGGGCTCAGGTCCGGGGGGCCGGAGGTGTGCAGGGAGGGGATGAGGAGCTTGGCTGGCTTGCGGCCGTTGCTGCTCTCGTCGTCTCTCGGACACCGCGGAGAGGGGCTCCTGCCCCGGCTGCAGCGGGCGGGGGAGCGGCAGGTGCGGCGCAGAGCTGAGAACTGGCGCAGCTCGTCGCCCAGCAGGCTACTGAGAGAGCCACGCCGCACGGGGCTGTGCAGGGTGGGCAGCAGCAGCTTGCGGTGGGTCAGGCTGGCGGGCGAAGGGTGAAAGACGTCGTCGGGCTCCTCCTGGTCCTCCAGGATGGAGTGGAGGGGCTTCTCAGGGCTGGCGCCGCTCTCGGGGCGAGGCTGTGGGCAGAGGGAGGGAGCTGGGTGACAAGGCGAGGAGACTCGTCCCAGGGCTGCTGCACCTGGCGCTGGCCGCTGGCTCGAAGGGCAGGACATTCCCCGGGGAAATGCCCTCCTGGCATCGCCCAGCCAGGCCCGCGGGGCAGGGAGAGCGAGGAAGTGGGCTCCCTGCTCCGAGGCCCCTCAGGTGTGTGTGGTGTGACTGCAGCCAGCCCCTCGGCACTCAGCTCCTGAAGTCGGCTCGGCTCCATTCGCCTGCAGGCTGAGCCAGGAGGAGCTGCCACGGCTTGGTCCCCACCACTGCCCAGCCCAGGGGCATGGGAGTGTCCTGCTCGGAAAGGCTCGAGAGCGGGGGAGTCACTCTGGTGAGCGGCCACTTCCTGCCTATTGCGTTTGGTTCAGATGAGCCCCTGGCACTAAGAGAGAACTCAGGGGGGTACGAGCAGCTGCCAACCCAGCCTGGCACAAACCCAACCTACCTGGGATAACCGAGGGGATCTGGGAAATCGCAGGAGCCCCTGGAAACAAAGCAGAGAACGGCTTGTTAGTGCCACCCAGCAAACTCCATTCAGACCAACACCCACTGGTACCGGCCACCTCCGAGTAGCCGCCCGCCGCTGGGTTAGCAGAGGAGGACACTGAGCAAACGCTAGGGATCCTCCTGGCTCCGGACATGGACAGGAAAGGCAGGAAGAGGTTTCCCCACCAGTACCGGGACAGAATAACCCAGCCCTCCGCACACCGCGTCTCTGTCTCAACGTCCACCTCTGCCCGGCCGCCTGTGCGGAATCTCGCTGCTCTGGGTCTGACCTGTACGTACTCTGCGCCTGTGATCCCCTGCCCCGGCCGCTGCTCTGGGTCT